TTACACTACTTTTGAGTTACTTTCACCAAAATATCCACATTGGTATTATAAAATGCCAAAATGTAGTTTATTGCTGCTCATTCTACATCCAGTGGAGGGTAATGTGGTAGGTCTATATAGCATAAAATTATAAAATCATATTTAGATACCGGTATGTAGGTCTACATTAATGTTACGTTGTAGTTTAGGTTAAACACAGATAAGCACAAACCGCATTATTACATTCATAATAATAATAAATAACACCAGTAAATAAAGCAAAATGTTATAATGTACAAACAATAAACACAATACCTAGCCTATAGGCTATTTTGAACGGTTTCAGAAGAAAACAAGAATGAAAAATATAAGTTGCTAAACAAGCCAAAACGAATAGGCTAATTCAATGCGAAATTGAAAGCAAATGGCGTTCTCGCGCAGCCTACCTCTCTCATTTGGCATTAATTCATTAAATGTGTCCATATTTGCAATTTATTTGAATGCTAAACTATTAGTTATTATGTAAACCAGGCTTACTTAACACGCTTAAAAAACATCCTCATCACATGAGCAAATGTGTGCTTGGCCCGAGCTCAAGCTGAACGGCACGGATTGTACGCAGTATGCACTATTTAAATTAACCAGTGTATCTATACGTTTGGTTGACTATTTTATTCTGATAGTGAACAGGCTGCAACGTTTGCAATGCTGTAGCCTATGTGTGTGCGTGAGGCACCGGCGCGATCGAACAGCGGAAACAAACAACAAAAAAATACAAATTTAAAAATACATTTTTGGTCATACAGATCATTCGAAACTGCAATGTGTTTACTTTTATTTCTGTCATCTCGGTTTCCTTTCCGTGGACTTTCGTAGAGCGCCGCGCCACACAAATAGCCTATGAACCAAACTCAGCAGCATATCTCTCAGTCTTTTCCGTTCGTTTTGTTAATCTGTTAATTAAGCTATTTAAGTCAATTATTTTGCATATTCATTCATTTTATATATAGGCCTACACTATGATTTAATAAAAACAGATTTTATTTTTAGTTCAACTTAATTTTTGTTGCTTGTCTGCGCTCGTCTGCCGCCTTTTTCTCTTCTCCGACCCCGCAGCTCTCCGATAGCTTAGTGTTAGTGGCACCAGTCCAGGTGTTTCCAGGTTTTACTCATGCTATTTCTCCATGTTGAGAATTTGGTGTCGCACATATTGCACCAGACTATACATTCTTATCCTTTTCTCCGATTAACTGAAAATAACAGGAGTGTGTCCATCTCACAAATGTAGAATCCGCGTCTCTGCAGTCATCTCAACCATCTAATCAACCATTTAATTCCAGCAACAGGAAATAGACAAACTATTTTACCCGTTGAATTTTTTCTCTGGTGCTGTTTTACGGTGTTGGTAAATTCACCACTTCATTTTGAGTTAAAATATGTTGTTGTAACTTGCGTTACTGAGATTGTAACGAGTAATAATATTACCCACATTTGATTAGTAATGCGTTATATTACTGCGTTACAGCAAAAAGTAATATACTACTGTAATATTATTACTTTTGGAATGCGTTACTCCCAACACTGACAGAGTCAAATGGGACATTAATGAATCTAACTGGATTCATATGAATTAGGTACATTCTTTATTTTTGACTAAATTTATTAATTATTATTCATGATTCAGATTTTAGTGTGTATTTTTATTTACCGGTATTTATTTTCTAATAGGCTCCATTCTCTTTCTATATGAACAGTTTCATATTAACCGGCTATACTCTGCCAGCTACATGCTTAATTTTATTCATTTTATTAATTGTCTGTATTTTTGGTTTCTTTTTAGCTTTTATGTATGAATTATTTTTTTAACAGGCTACTTTCTCTTTCTTTATGAACACATTTATACCCATGTTGTCTATTAATTTGGCCTTAATTATTACAAACTTTGACATTAACCACAGAGAAACGTGTTTACCTCCTACTCAAACTCATTTCTGTCAATAAAAAATTGTTTATTAAAAGTTTTAAATCCCATACACTCTTTTTGGCATAATTTAAAAGATGCAAATACTACTACTGACATATCTGAACCTCCCTGCCTCAGAAAGGACTAGAATTTTCCAAAAAAGGAGAAAAAATGTTGTGTTTACGGTTATGTAAGGGACTTTACCTCAATAAAGTGCAGCCTTATTTTGGAGAGGGATTGTCTCCTGTTTTAAGTGGTTTAACACTAGGACTCCTCTGGCTATGTAGAGGCTTGGGATTGGAGTATCACGCACACGTCCCGCAGGTAAACACAGGCTGTGTGTGTTTACAGACACCCTTTAGCCAGGGCGGGTGAAGTACCTCTCTGTATCTTATTGTAGCCGTGGTTCTTAAACCCTCCTATTTTTAGACAACTAGATTTAAGCCCAGTCTCAGTTGCATGGAGTTGCTGCACCTTATTTACCAGCTACAGGCCCACGGTAAAGAGACTCGTCTACATCTTTCATTACTCTTTATCTTCCATATGCCATTGTCTTGGTGGATAAAGTCTTTGTAAGCAAATAAGCTGAATGTACCCATTTGGGAAGTTACTGAGTTAATTGTGCCAGTTCTGAAAACACAGGACCCATATGTATATCTCAGGATGGCATGAATTTACAGTATATCTCATGATGTAGTGAGCAACATCTATCTACTATGTGCTTTATATATATATATATATTTTTTTTCCATGTGCTTTTGACTAGCACGATTTTGAATACTTAAAGGGTCAAATTAAATAAAAAGGAATTATTGGTGTTGGTAAAATATTTTTATATTATTATTTTTTATATTATATATATATATATATATAGACACAGTGGTGTCAAAAAAGGATTAGAACACTAGTATTTTCACCAGCTATTAAGTGGTTTTAAGTATGTATATATTAACTTTACAATAATGAGAATTGAGGAGAATAATATCACAATGCAAAGAAGTCTAAATAATCCTATGTAATGTTTCTTTTCATTTTCAAAACGCAATTTCTTTTGATTTTGGAGTGAAATATGACCAGCATGTTTTAT